GCAATCCCATTTGTCCAACCTTTCTTTGATTTGTTGTGTTTCTGAGTCTCTACTAAGAAAATTTCGGCCTGTGCCAAGGAGACCTAGGGTTTCTCCTATTCCATCTTGTAATGTTTTCAGAATGTCTGCTTTGACTCTGAGGGTCTTTGATCCATTTGGAGTTGATTCTAGTGCAGGGTGATATATAAGGATCTAGCTTTAGTTTTCTACAAGTAGTTAACTAATTTTGCCAGCACCATTTACTGAAGAGGCTGTCTTTCTTCCATTCTATTTAAAATTTTTATTTTAGAAGTAAGAAACTCATAGACAAATACTGCTGCAAATGCTGAAGTGAGGTGCCCTAATGCTTTCTAATTCTTTTTAAATCTAACACAAACAAGTTGCCTCATTCTAGTAGGATTTAGGAAATCTATGCTATAATTATCTAGTTTTTCTCTTTCTTTCTCGTTTTATTTTGTTTTGTTTTTTGGTGAATACGACATTAGCACACAAAAGTCCAAGTTACAAAATTCTCTTCAACTCTGCATTAATCCTGGCCTCTTTGTAGTCTCTTTGTCTCTGCTGATTTTTAACTTTAAGCTTCAAGGGTCAGAACCAGGTATATATTACTCAAAAACATTTTTTGCATGACTCTGACATAAAGCATTTCTATTAGTTTTTTTTAGAGAGTTAGCATTTATTGCTAAGAGAGTATCATAGCAGTGAAGATTCTACAAAGATCTAGAAATGACACTGACTATGAAGTGACCAGGGAGGTCTATGTGACAGACACTGGAAACAAACAGAGAATTGGGAGGGTCTTAAGCTTCCTGGAGTTTCCCTAATTGGTTAGAAATTGATCCTCAATGATCACAGCATAGAGTGTTTTCTTTATAACAACAAAACAAAACATACACAGTCAGGGCTGGGGAGGTAGAACAGAGGTAGAGCACTGCACTGGCACATGCAGGCCCTGGGTTCTCTCCACAGCACTGTGAGAAATGAAAAGAACAGAAATGAAAAGAAATGAAAAAAGAACAGTCAATGTTATTTCTGAATTGTTGGTTTTCTAGTGAAATGTGAAATAGCATAGGGTAGTTTTAATTTTATAGAAAGAATTCATGTCTTTTTATTTTTAGGAACTAATATATTAAATATTATTTATGTTATAAATACTTTTAACCATTTAAACTCTAGAACAAAATAATCATTGTAAGAGCAGGTGCATTAAAGAAGTACTCCCCACTGATTTTTTAAAAAATGTTTGAGTCTTTCAAAATTTTATGTAAAGCAGAATTACCTATTAGTTCTAATGTAAAAGAAGAACTCAGCTGGGTGCCAGTGGCTCAAGCCTATACTACTCAGGAGGCTGAGATCTGAGGACTGTAGTTCCACCCTGGCCAGAGCAGAAAAGTCCCCGTGAAACTCTTATCTCCAATTAGCTACTCAAAACACACAGAAGTGGAGCTGTGGTTCAACTGGTAGAGTGCTAGCTTTTGAGTACAAAGAGTCTCAGGAACAGAGCCCAAGCCTTGAATTCAAGTCTGTAACTGACAAAAAAACCCTATTAAGTTAGTAGGCCCCAAGCCTCTGACTATTTATTAGTTGGTTCTATATGCTATAAAATTTGGAAAACCAAATACTAAACACATATCCAAATAAGTTTCATATGTATTTTCATTTGTGGCTTGAAAGTGGTTATATAATCATATTCCCTTAAGGAAGTAAAAAATGCTTTATGTGGAATCAATTTATACAGTTCCCCAAATTATTAATTTTATCCATGCAGTAATTAGTCTATTTGTATGCCTATCTATTGAGCCTCAAAGCCTGGGCAGTCTCTGAGTTTTTTTCACTCAAGGCTAGTGCTCTACCACTTTGAGTCAGAGTGCCATTTCTTGTTTTCAGTTAGTTATTTGGAGATTAGAGTCTCATAGACGTTCCTACCTGAGGTTGGCTTCAAAGGGTGATCTCAGAGCTCAGCTTCCTGAGTAGCTTGGAGATTACAGGTGTGAACCACCATCTCCTGGCTAATTAACACCGTTGTTAATGACAGTGTCTTACTACATGGACATGCAAGCAAACTTCTTTGTCTCAGTGCACCCTGTTGATTCTTATATTTTGTGTGATGACATAGCTCCTAAAGTGATATGTGAAGCCTTGAGTGTGACAGTTGTCTGGTAGCTAGATAGTATTCTCTATTCCTTAAGAGCTAATAATTTAAAGCATGGAATGCTTTTAAATTATAGTATGTCATTGGGTGCCAATGGCTCATGCTTATAATCCTAACTACTCAAGAGGCTGAGATCTGAAGATCACAGTTTAAAGCCATCCAGGGCAGAAAAATCCATGAGATTTTTATCTCCAATTAACCCCCCCCCAAAAAAAAACAGAAGTGGAGCTGTGACTCAAAGTGACAGAGCACTAACCTTGAGCAAAAGAGCTCAAGCTCCATAGCAGACAAAAAAAGAAAGAAAAGGAAATATACTCTTTACCTGACTTATGTAATTGTAGCCCCTTCGTACATAGATCACCTTTGTAATAACAAAAATTTTTTTAAGTCAGAAGTAGAATTTAGCTCAAGTGATAGAATATCAGCCTTGAGTGACAAAAAAGAACAGTGCCCACACCCTGAGTTAAAGATCCAGTATTCACACACACACATACACATACATACATAAACACACACACACACACACACACAAATTATAGTGTTCTGTCTATACAGCTAAAATGACATCTTCTGAATCTCATATACCCCTTAAGATTTGCTGCAATCAACTCTAATCCCTTTCCCTCATACCAACTAGCCAAGAGAGAAGAAGAAGCCAGGCTTACAAGAACTGATTGAACAATGCATTTCTCTATCAAGAAAACATTCTTCACCAGTTATCAGATGTTCCTGCTTTCTCCTCATTCGCCCCCTCAGGTTTTGGACATCAAGAGAACTCCCAGTATCACAAAGCTCCTCCCATTTGAGGAGCTGTGAGAGCCTTTGTTGGAGCTGAAGCAAGGGTTGCTAGGCAGTCATTCCCTGCCCCTGCTACCCCCACCCCACCCCGGACTCTTTGCCTCAAGTCATGGAGAAAATGCAACACATACCTCATGAATATGACATTTTGAATAATATCTCAACTGTAGGTAGTTCTTTATATTAGTTGCTTTTGAAGAACTCCCATGGGGGAGAGAGAGGGAGGTGACTTAATGGTAGAGTATTTGCTTACAATACACAAGGCACTGTTATCCTATCTGTAGCACCAAAAAGGAAGGAAGACCAAAAGGCATAAAGTCATGGAGGAAAGACTAATTCTCATTTTTCCTCACCTTGATTTTCCACATGTCCTTTCATTAGCATAGCTATTTAGAATGAAAGTTAAATGATTAATAAAAAATATACACAGAAGCTGTCTTTTACTAAAATTAAATCTTCCTTCTCAGATGAACTAATAGTTGAAAACAAAAATCTTGACTACAAACTATGCCTAAAGGGCCAGGCATGGTAGAACATATCTGTAACCCTTGCTATTTGGGAGGATGAGGAAGGAAAATCATAATTTAAAGCCATCAGGAGAAAAGAGAGTTGAAAACATATCTGAAAAAAACAAACAAAAAACATTGGCTTATACCTATAATCCTATCTATCTAGCTATTCTGGGGACTAAGATCTAAGAATCTCAGTTCAAAGCTAGTCAGACAAATTGAAAATAGTTTTATTTACAGTTAACCAACAAAAAAATCTGAAACCAGAGGCATGGTTCAGGTGGTAGAGCACCAGCTGTTTATGTAAAGGCCAAGAGATGAAAGGAGCTGAGAGTTCTATTCCTAGTACCACACACATAAACAACTTTGTGGTATATATTACAGTTATTCTCACAATTTCCACTTGACAGAGTCATTTTTTTTTCTTTTTCTTTTTTTGGTCAGACATGGGGCTTGAACTCTGGGCTTGGGTGCTGTCCCTGCACTCTTCAGCTCAAGGCAAGAGCTCTACCGCTTGAGCCACAGCACCACTTCCGGTTTTCTAGTGGTTTATTGGAGATAAGAGTCTCACGGACTTTCCTGCCCAGGCCGGCTTTGAACCTAGATCGTCATATCTCAGCCTCCTGAGTAGCTAGGATTACAGGCGTGAGCCACCGGCGCCAGGCTTGACAGAGTCATTTCTATTCCTTGTTGCATGGGACCACATCTGTGAAGGGGAAAGAAAGCTGGAGGTGGGGACTGGAGAGAAAGCATGTTGGGAAAGGATGTTTTCCAGAGGTAACAGGAGTCTCTGAATCATTATAAAGCTCATTGAAATATTTCAGAGCAGGGCACTAATGATCCCCAAGCAGGAAGAGGGGAAGGAAATCAAAGAATAAGAAAGGACATGAGGATCAAAGCCCTACCAAGAAAAAAAGTTTTGTCTCACATATAAACATCATGTTATCAATTCTGTAGCATGGCCCAAACAAGGCTATTTTCCCATTAGCAAGTCATGCATGCCCCTAACACATCATACTACACATATTTGTTAAGAGGCTCTATTTACTTCAGTAATTATTACTGTAGTACTAATGTTTGCCTTTTTTCCATTCAGACACACAATTCAGAATCATTTCCCATAGTACATTTAGCCAGTCACTGTTTTATTACTCCAAACACCACCAACCATGAAACAAATTTCCTCTAGTCACTGGCTGCTTTTGTTTTGTGTCCTTTCGTCTTCATATCTTGAGTACACTTGGCCTTCTCGAATTTATTCCAGAACCATGTTAATCTACTAGAAAGTTCTCTAAGTAACATTAAGTGATAGACAAAAATACTACTACATATAAACCATCCCCACATGGAGAAACTGCCAGATAGTTTGGTAATTCATTTCTAGAGATTTCTGGGAGTTTTGTTTTCCCAAGACAATATATTTTCTTGATTTAAAAGTAAAATGCCTGTGCCAGGTACTGGTGGCGCACACCAGTTATCCTAGCTAGTTTCAAAGCCAGGCTGGACAGGAAAGTCCATGAGACTCATCTCCAATAAACTACCAGAATACAGGAAGTGTGCTGTGGCTCAAGTGGTAGAGCACTTGCCTTGAGCTGAAGAGTTCAGGTACAGAGCCCAAGCCCAGAGTTCATGCTCTAAGAAGAACCAAAAAAACCATTTTTTTTTATTGTTCACTAGGTCTATACTCATTACAAGAGCTGTTTTTTTGTTTTAGTTTTTGTTTATTTTGTCAGTCGTGGGGCTTGAGCTCAAGGCTTGGACCCTGGTCCAGAATTCTTTTGCTCAAGGCTAGTGCTCTTCCACTTTGAGCCACAACCCATTTATGGTTTTCTGGTGGTTAATTGGAGATCAGAGTCTCACAGACTTTCCTGCCTGGACTGGATTTGAACTGCAATCCTCAGATCTCAGCCTCCTGAGTAGTTAGGATTTCAGGCATGAGCCAACAGCGTCCCACACAAGACATTCTTAGTATTTCTCAAACAATTTACAGCCAACTGCTCAGAGTATTGATTTGCCTGTTTAAGAAAAGGGTAAGTCTTTCCCATTTAGAAAAAAAAAGTTTTCTGACATCCACAAAATGTTAAATTTACCTAGTCCATATTCAAAATCAATGTGATAGTTGGAAAAATTAACTTAAAGGATTAAAGTAAAAAATTTCACATTATTACTACTAAGAATGGAATGAATATTTTACATGGTTGAATCATTCAAGTATCTTCTGGTGGCAGAAGCCTTTATTTTCCAAGGCAAAGCCACTAATAGAATCTGTGGAGAAATTTGGGAAAGGTAGAAATTAAGGTCCTAAATTGAAAAGTTTGTTATTTTTTAAGTTTGTTATTTTGTTCACCAATGTTCACATCAGCTGATTGAAATCAAGTATAAGAAATGAAATATCTAACAAAGGAGGAGGCAACAATGCTTGATAAGAAATGTACTCATTACCTTGCCCATGTAATTGTAACCCCTCTGTACGGTATTTTCACAATAATAAAAAAGTAATGAAATATCTGTATTTCTTTAGGAAACATGATAGCCACTGACATAAAACAATAGTTTGTAGAACTTATTCAGTAAAACCTCCTGAAGGCATTTAATAATAGACCAGGATAGCCTGGCAACAGTGGCTTATACCTGTAATCCTAACTACTCAAGTGGCTAAAATCTGGAGAATCAAGGCTCACAGCTATCTCAGGAAGAAAAGTTTGCTAGAATCTATCAGCAAAATAACCAGTAAAAAGCTTGGATAGAGGTGTCACTCAAAGTGGCAAGTCAAGTAAGCAAGCCTAGTGAGTGTGAGCTCCTGAGTTCACACCACAGCACTGACCAAAAAAAATAATATCCTAGAATAATGACATCAAAGGTACTGATTTATTCTAATAGCATAATATTCTAGGTCTGTGATATTAAGGTGTTATAATGAAATGAATTTTAGGTAGATGTGTGAATTCATATTTAGTCATATTCACAGAGTTACACACATCAGAATAAAACACAAATGAGAGTGTTTGGTAGTGCTCTATACACTTACGTGGCCTGGGTACTGTTCCACAGTTTTTTTGAACAAGGCTACCACTTAAGCCACAGCTCTACTAGGTTTTGGGGGGTTGGGGGTTGGCTTATGAATTGGAGATAAGTGTCTCATGAAATTTCCTGCCCAGATTAGTTTTGAACCACAATCCTCATATCTAAGTCTCCTGAGTAGCTAGCATTACAGGGATGAGCCACTGGTACCTGGCTCTAGCTACATAAGCTTTTAATGAGAGCCCCTCGAGTGTGAAATTCTATTCCAAGCCCTCACAGAAATAGTGTTACCAGTGAGCTCTTCCTGACCCAAGAGTCTCACAATCAGAGGGAAAACCAGGCATATACTCATAGATTTTGTTAAAATATTTAATAGAAAGACATAATTAAAATACAGATTCCCAGAAAGATTGTACAGAGCAAGAAAACCAGTTAGGTATCATACAGTCTGCATAGTTTAACCACAGGAACAAGTCCTGAGAAGCACACTTCAGTGGGAGCATCATGGAACATGTTCACATACACTATAGATGGCACAAGTCTATCCCTCCATCCTGAGATGGAGGAGGTACAACCAGACACAGCACACCAGGGGAGAGATACTCTAGCACATACCTTTTGCAGGATCTTTCACTTTACGGATAACAGCAGACAACACCCTTAACCATAATGAATCAAAGACAGATCTTTGATTGTCCCTTTTGATTATTTCAATAATCTTGGAGCACTTCTTGCTGGTATTGAGGGTGCTATGCTTTCTCAGTTTCAGTACCATTCCCCCAAGACTGATTTGTCTCATTATATATAGATATAGACTGAATGGGGGTAATGGTTTCCAAAGGCTGTTACTAAATAAAATATGGATATAAAAATTATGCTCATGGGCTGGGAAGGTAGCTCAGTGGTAGAGTGCTTGCCTTGCATGCATGAGGCCCTGGGTTCGATTCCTTAGCACTACATAAGCAGAAAAAGCTGGAAGTGGCTCTGTGGCTTAAGTGGTAGAGTGCTAGCCTTGAGCTGAAGAGCTGAGTGACAGCGCCCAGGCCCAGAGTTCAGGTCCCACAACCAGAAAAAAAAAACATTATGTGCATGACCTCCAGTTCTTCAGCTCACATTCCTGCCTCACTACATCAATTGGGAGCTCTCTTTTTTTTTCTTAACCACTAAAAATGCCCTTTTCAAGGTTTTAATCACTTTCTAAACCTAACCAGCAGCTCCCATTAAAAGTTACCTTTCTTGCTTGCTTAAATTCTGTATCTTTTGGTCCCTATTCTGCATATTACATATCTCTACTGCATATATGCATCACACTTCATATTGCTGATTCCTAATTTTCCCCCATACCTCATTGTCATTCCCTTCCAGAACTGACCTATAGCCTCACAGGAACTGATTTCCTCTGGAGAGCAAAGACCACTCATTCACCAAACAAGATGGGGAAGTGAAGGAGGGAAGGCACTTTCCTAAAATGCTATCTTCAAGCACAACACAAACTCATGCAGTATATGAGATTGGGCTTTCCTCCCCTTCCTCTGTGTACCCTACTCCTCTTTGTTCAACATTTAAAATCTTGACATAGATAATGAAAGGGTACCAAGTGGGTGAGAAGAAAACACACTGGATTATGGAATTAGTCGAATTCCTATAGTGGCAAAAATAAAACCTGAGTTGCTAAGGATAAATGCAGCCCTTTCCAACCAGCCCCCACCCCCCACCCCCTATCAATCCAGTATTAAGCATGGCATAGCTCAGTAGAGGCAGAAAAGATGAGAGAGTTTCTGTGACAGATATACTGGCATCCCCTTAACCCATGTAATGTTGGTTTCTATGATTTTGGCTAAGTGCATTCAACTATAGATATATAAACACACATGTGTGTGAGTGTGTGTGTGTAATATACATATATATGTATCATATATATATGAAAACTGCATAGCAGAAGTAAGCAATTCATATGCTTTAAATAATTTTATTATGGAACAGTGCTCTAATTGTCCCACTTTGCCATTATTGTTGTTAATCTCTTACCATGTCTAATTTACAAATGAGGCTTATATAAACATGTATGTTTAAGGAAAAACTTGGTGCATGCAAGACTCAGTACTATACACAATTTCAAGCACCCACCAGGAGTCTTGGAATGTATGCCTCTTACAGATAAGGAGAGAGTTGTGTTCATAAGATGAGGGCAATGTCTGAAAAATGTTAGTGTGAAGCCAGACACAGTGGCTCAGCCTGAAATTCCAGATACTTGAGAGGCAGAAATAGGAAGATCAGGCCTAGGTCACCCTAGGCTAAAAGCAGGAGGCTCCATCTGAAAAATAACTAAAGTAGAAAGGACTAGAGGTATGTCTCAAATGGTAGTCTACCTGATGAGCAAGTCCTGTGCCCGGAGTTAAAACCCCAGTATCACCAGAAAAAGCAAAAAGAAAAATGTTAGTTTGATATTAAGATTGGATTATCAATAACTATATTATTAAAGACAGAAGAGGAAGTTGATTACTATCTACAGGTATACTTAGTATGACTGGATTCTGCACCAAGGTGGAGACAGCCAAACTAAAGGTAGGTTTCTGACATTAATATTCAGATCAGGGGAATCTGGCTAAAGTATAGATTCTCAGCGGCTCAGCCTAGAGCTGCTATGCTTCCTGTCTAACCAGCTCTCCCACCCCCACTCCTGAGACTGCTTTGAGTTCAAGAGACAGGATCATCTGTTGGAATTTCTTCCAACTCCAACACTCTAGGTTTAGTCAATTTGGCCAAGCATGGAACAAAGCCTGCCACACTGATTCATGAGATCATGCCTCCTCCAGCAGTTTTGTCACTATTTAACCAGAATTCCAGATCCCCGATTCTGCATTCATGTCTAGGGACCTTTGGTGAGTATTTTTAGAAGGAAAATCAAGGTTAAGAGGGAAACATTCCAAGGGCTCCAAAACAAAGACAATCCAGGTCCATTGATCGTCAACCAGAAAAATCTAAAGCAAACCTATATGGCCTCTTCCACACACAATCAGAGCAGTAAGATTTGCAAAACAAAAACCTGATTTTAAAAAACAAGCTCAAAACTCAGGCACCAGTAGCTCACACCTTCACTCAGGATGCTGAGATCTGAGGATCACCATTCAAAGCCAGCCCAGGCAGGAAGTCCGTGAGACTCATCTTCAACAAACTACCAAAAATCAAAAAGCAGAGCTATGGCTCAAGTGATCGAGCACTGGCCTTGAGCAAAAGATCAGGGACAATGCCCAAGCCCTGAGCTCAAGCCCCAGAAGCAGTACCAAAAAAAAAGAAGGCTCAAGATAAATATACTAAAAAAAATAGGAATTTTCTGAGAAAACCTGAAATCAAACCTAAATAAATACTGACTACTTCCTTCTTTCCTTTCTGTCTTTTTGTAGAAATTGATAAGTCATCCCCAGGTTGTCTCCAAACTGAGTTTAAACATTAAAGAGGGTTCAGTTCTAGATGACAGAAAGAGGCAAAGGCAGGGCTAGTTACTTCTTCTACTCCAAAGAGATAGGGAAAGGTCAAGGCCGGAGGAGTGTTCCCCAAGGCCCTGCTCCTCTTAATCTCTATCTATTGTTGGCTCTTACTGAAATTAGATGTTAAAAAATATTTTCGCATGATTTCCCAAGTTTTCCCTTGTATTATGTTTTATTATGTTAGCTGGACAAGAAAAATTTACTTGATTTTAGTAAAGGAAAAAGCAAAACCCAGGCAGGGCTATATTAATTCATTATACCTATAAGCACATTTATTCATACTATGTCTTCTACACATACCTTCGCTGATGTATCTTCTTTTAAAACAACCCAGTAATACCAAATGGTCTACCTTTACCACACATCTCACTGGTGTGAAAAGATGAGTCCCCACTTCCTGTTCAAAAGTATTCCTTTCATACTCATTCTTCCTCCCCTGGCCACATCATCTTCCAAGTGAATACACACCAGCCCAAGCATTTCTCCAACTCCCAGCCTCTAGAAGTCTGAAAGAATGGAAGCCTTGCTTGTTTTCTGGAGAATGCCAACCCTTATTTCTAGCTGCTGGCTCCAAATTCCAAGCAGCCAAAACAGGACTGCATTAGGCAGCCAATTTCTCTTAGGGACTGCAATTGCCACCGAGTTCTTCCCTCATTGGTGGTGATAATGAAACACTAAGGATATAAACTGAGATTTAACTCAAGGTGAAAGTCTAGTTAAACTTAAGTGGGAAATAGTGTCACACACAAAATTCACTTAAAGAGACACAAAGATTATAAAGATTCATATGGTACATATGGATGTAAGAGAGAGGCAGAGATGGGCTCAGGGTCACAGACACAGAGCAAAACAGAAAGAAATGTAGGTTAAACCATGGCTAGTATCAGAGACACAACAAGTATTCAAAGAAGCCCACTTTCTACTTAGGCAATAGTGTTCATGCTCCAGAGATATCTTGTTACCTGTCTCAGTCAACGTCAATACATTGCATATTATCATGGAGTATATTAGCAATGGGTCACTGTCAAAGCAGTGTATTGCTAATGGCATGATGAACAATAAAGATGGATTCTCATTGGAAAAAAAATTCATAGTAGATAAAGTATCTACACCACCTAACATGTGTTAGAGGACTTTCTGTTTTTGTCAGAATAAATGGGTTCAAGAGTCTTCACACCACTTATAGAAATAGATAAAACTCAAATATAGCCATTGGGAGATACTGAAAACAAACAGGAAAAGTTGCTGGAGCTTCAGGTAAGATGAGTGGAAGAGAATGGCTGTCCAGATGAGGACATCATACCTTACCACAAGCCACCAACATTGTGGATCACCAGGAACAACTGGCTGAGCAGTCTGCAACTTCCGGAGCAGACAGGGAGAGCACAGACCCAGTGATGTTGTCAATCAAGGTCATAAACTTGATGCAAAAGGGCAAAGAAAACTCCCAGTGTGGCCAGCCAGAAATTTTGGTTTCAATCGAGAAAGTGAAAAACAGCTGGATGGACCAGTCAAAAAGTAACAGGGGACCCTAGAAACATACCTGGAAACCACAGAAGGGCTATCTTAGGATTTGTTTTTAATTCAAAAAGAATAAAATAAAAGGAAGTTTAAGAAAAGAAACAAGATAATACACTAAAAGCCTATATGGTTTTTGAGCAATTAGGTAAAGCAAGTATTATGAATTACTTGCAGACAGGAAGACTAATAATGTTAGACAGAAATTCTATCTAAATTAATCTATAGATTCAAGCAGTTTCTATCAAAATTTCATCCAGCTTTTAAACAGAAGTTGACAAGCTAAATGCTAATGGAAAACCAAAGGACCTGGAACAGTCAAACCAGGTGAGAAAAAGTAAACCTAGAAACCTTATTATAACTAGAAAATTTATTATAACACCAGAGGAACAGAGATGTTGCAATGTTACTATAAGACCAAACTTTTGGATTAAGGAAAAAAAATAGAGCCTACAGCTATACACTTAAATTTGTGATCAACAATTTTTAGCAAAGGTACTAATGTGATTTTGCCTTTTCTTTCTTATAAAAAAGTTCTTATTGCATTTAACAAATGTTGTTGAGATTACTAGATATCCCTGTGCAACAAACACAATTTACATATTGCCTCCTTTCCAAGCACAAAAGTTAACTAAAAATGCATGACAATCCTCAATGTAAGAATTAACTATAAAACTTCTAAGAAAAAGACATGGAGAACAAAGTCTCTGTGACCCTGGGTTTGATAAAGAGTTCTTAGAAGACAAAAGACAAATCCATAAAGGAACAT